CCCCCCCGCCGTCCTCCCCGAACAGCGCCCGCCGCTTGTCGCTGAATGGGGAGACGGACGTCGCCTCTGCTCTGGCCGAACTTACGGAGCAATCACTCCGTCCTGGCGCCCAGGAGATGAACGGACAAGTCGAGATATGGAGCAGCCGGGTGAACGGGGGCCTCTGGTTCAAGGTGCACGCCTCTGGCGTTCAGATTGCCACCGAGCTCTTCCTCACGGGCCTCGCCCCTAATCCGGATCGAGTCGGCAAGCTCTCGAATCGACAATGGCCCGACAAGAACTGCGAGCGGTGCGAGCCGGGCATCCCCGGCGTTCAAGTGCGGTTCGCACGCCGTCTCGAATACGGGATCGCAGAAAACCCGGAGTACGCGCTCACTCTCTATCGGCGAAAGTGTTCCAACATGCTCCCTGGCTTTGGCGGGTCCATCGCGCTGAAGGGCAACACGCTTAGCTTGCGCCAAGAGACACCCACCAAGGCGTGCGCCTTCGACGTCTTCCTCTGGGTGCCTCTGACGGAGCTCGACGGGTCGATGCGCTCCTCCTCGTCGATCCCACCTGTGTGCATTGGACGTGGCTCGAGCAGCGAGGGCGCCTATCCAACCATCCAGCGAGCCATGGCAGCGTGCGACCCCGCGGTGGAGCGGCCCCCACCGTCGTCCATGCAGAGCCCTCCGCCGCCGCTCCCGCCGCTGCCGCCGCAAGCCTCCACGTCCACGATCAGCGAACCGAGTAGCGCGACAGGAACCCTCCGAGGCGTGGGCCTCATCTCCGTGACCATCGCGGTGCTCTTGCTGTCCCTCGCCTGTGGACTCGGCCTCGTGCGCTACAGACGACGCAACGCGCGGAGCAGGTCGCTAGCCACCGCTGGGCTCACCGCGCCACTCGGCTCCGCCTCCGTTCTTCCCCCGAGCGACTCCAGCATAGACGCTAGCCAGCCGAGCGAGCTAGGCAGCGAGTCCAGCGCGCCCAGCGAACCGCGGCGAGTCGAGATCTAGGTCGAGGGGCGCATGGAGCGGGCCACTGTGTGCTCTATCCGGAGCTATATTTTTGGGCTAGGGATTCCCTACTTCTGTTCGAAGGGGACGAGCGTCCCCCTTCCTTGCCCCGCCGGGTCGTACTCGAACGCAACCAACCTCACCGCCGCGAGCGAGTGCACAGACGCCGCTCCGGGCCACTTCGCCGCCGCCGGCTCCACCGAGCAGACGGCGTGCGCCAAGGGGTCGTTCACGGACGCGCCCAAGCAGGGCGAGTGCACGCCTTGCGCCGGCGGCACGTACCAGGACGCGGGCGGCAAGACGGAGTGCAAGGCGTGCAAGCAAGGAAGCTATTGTCAGAAGGGCGCGGCGGCACCGCTGCCGTGCGAGGCTGGCAGCTACTCGAACGCCACCAACCTCACCGCTGCGAGCGAGTGCACCGACGCCTCGCCGGGCTACTTCTCCACCACCAGCTCCACACAGCAGACGCCATGTGCCAAGGGCAGCTACGCCGGCACGGGCGACCTCTCCGAGTGCGAGCCGTGCGCGGGCGGGACCTACCAGCACGACACCGGCGCTACGGGCTGCCTCGCGTGCGAGAAAGGGAGCTACTGCGAGCCGGGCGCGGCGGCGCCGCTGCCGTGCGACGCTGGCAGCTACTCGCGCGCGACCAACCTCACCGCCGGGAGCGAGTGCACGGCCTGCCCCGCCGGCAGCGCCTGCTCCACGGGCAGCATCGATCCGACGCCGTGCTCGCCTGGCACGTTTGCCGCAACCGAGGGGCGGTCCGAGTGCGAGTCTTGCCCTCCCGGCACCTCGTCGGGTCAAGGCAGCGTCGCGTGCGACGAGTGCGAGGCTGTCTACTCCGAGCGGAAGCAGCCCGGAGAGCAGAGTGCGTGTTTGCGATCGTCGTGAGAGTCGTGCATATCAAAGTGGCTTGATAGATTTATGTGATTGATAGATTCAAAGAGGTTGCGAAGTGCGGACTCTCGCGCGTCGGGCGGTGGGCCGCACGTACTGCATCTGTTCACAGCGTTTCCCCAGTCACACGGAACACTTAGCGATGCATGCCGCCTTCTCACACCCGAGAAAGAGAGGGGGGGGGGGGAGTAGTAGTAGTAATACTTATATACACGGCGCGTTGGCGGTAAATCTGGGAAACTACTCCGGCGACACTCAAGCTTGATGCTTGTCCGTCAGGGGAGAAGGGTTGGATCCCATCCACCGCGACTTTTAACCCCGCCCGGGGGGGGGGGGGGGGGTCTGAGAAATTTTTTTCCCCTCCCCCCCAAAAAAATGCACTTTTCCTTTTAAGCTCCCTTCCAGGGGACAATTTCTCTTCAAATTTTTAGGGGGGGGTACCTCCCTAAAAACCCCCGCCCAACGGGGGGGAAAAATTGTGGGGAACCTTTGAAGCGGGTTTTCCCCCCCCCC